CAGTTTTTAATTTTCGATATAAGTTAACCAACCTCGTTATAACGAACATATTTTGCCACACCCTTGACCCTTCGTTATATCGAGGTTCCACTGTACTTAATTTTATTTATTTATTTTTCAAAAACTGGGGGGCCCTGGCTCCCCCAGCCCCTCCCCCTGCAGGGGCCCTGGACAGGTTAAACTACCGTTCCATTATTTAAAATAACAGTTGCAAAATATGACACTTATACACTGGTCCTTCAATAGGTTAGTCTGAGTATCAGGCTTTTCTAAGGGGCTACGAGACAGGAGATTTTCGCTTTTCTTTTCCCCTTTTTCCTCCAGAAACGCCTGATACTCAGGCTGTCAACAGGCCTTTAACAACTTCCAAAAGCCAGAAAACCCTCACTTTCAAAACGAGACCAAGTGCAGAAACAGTCCTCATAATAAAAATGATTTTTTTCATGATAATCTTGATAGCTCATTTCACATCTAAGTTTTTTCACTGACTTGAAGCAACCCGTAAATAGACTGAGGACAACCTCGTTCCCAGGGACGGGTAGGAGAGAACCCTTATAACGAGGTTGACCAGAAAGTTGCATACCTTTGCGAGGGCAAAGTGTGGTTTCCGCAGGCGCTGGAGACGATCCACGATCTTAAACTTGCAGGGCATTGAGGGGTAGAGTAAGATCACTACACTAACGAGGTTACAATCAACGGTAAGTTAAAGAGACAAACTATTTTCTATTTCACTTTGAACATTTCATTCCGGCTTCGTACCCCGAACACCCAGGCCTCTCGGTTTAAACTGGCGTCAGGAGAACAAGAAGGTCGCCTATGATTGTTACGTATATCTCGTTGGTTCCGGCCATCGCCGCGTAAAGGATGAGCAAACAAACTGGCGTCGGTAAAATAACCTTCGTGTCACTTCTGAATTTGAGGGAAAAAACCCTTGACTGAGAAACTCTTTGACAACGACTCTGAATGCCGCGAGGATTGTAAATATGATAACGAATGTAATAATCATTGTAGTATAGTAGTGAAAGTGTTTTTGCAGATGTCGTGCGATGAATATCCCTTCAGACCAAAAAGTTGAAAAAAAATCGTGCTGTAAAAGGAGGGCGGAAAGTTAACAACTTCGTCAAAAATAATACCCGCCCCGGAGTATTGTTAAATCCATTCCTTACTACAACCGCTCAATATATTTACTACTTGTCAATACTAAGAAAGTAAGAGCGTATTTACAAGGTACAGACCATATTTGTTACTACTCCAGCTTGAATAAAGCAAACAATATCAGTCGGTTCTAAATTCAGGATATAAACTTTACCACCATAAACTGAATGAGGACTATATAGAAGTTGTACGTTAATTCTGCATATCACAATTCTTGAGTGCACGTTAATACTGCATGTAACACTTCCTTAATCATCCAACTGGCAAAGAAGAGCCACACCACGCATGATCCAATGGGACTGTGGCTGATCAGATGGCAGGCGCATGTCCATCACAATGTTAGTGGAGTGGCCTGTGGTAGAGAGCGTACCTCTCCTCTCGCTTGTTTTGTAAACAGGGGCGACATAACGCGGCCGGTCAACAATCTCTTCCTTCTTGCAAAGTTTGAGCCAGAAAACAGGCATGCTATCATACAAAGCTTTCTGGTACGACTCTCTAATCACTCTCTTTTCTCGACCCCATCGACAGCCTTCCATGGACAAGCCATTAACATAGACACCGTCCTCGGGTGGAGTTTCGTAATCATTGTCGCCAAGAACCTCGAAGACAAACGTTGGGAGATCAATAGGAATGGTGTATTTTCTGGCGTAGTTCTGCTTTGATCCCGTTAAGAAGGCCTGAGTGAAGAAAAAACCATATTACCACTCTTGAAGAAACTTGAGGCGAGCAATCAGATCATTGACGTAACTGCCAAGTGGTTTAAGAGATGGGTAGGACTTCTCCATCTACAGACCAGGGATTTTGCCTTTAAGGATGCCGCCCGCCACCTCCTCTAGTTCAGAGGGCATACCAACCAGGCCCTGGGATCATATAAAAGGTCGGGTAAACCGTCTTAGTGAGTCCCATTCCTAAACACGTAGCGAAAACTACTTCCTGTAAGTGCGCCTACCCCATAGAAAAAGGAGCAAAATATATACCCGGCAGGGAGGGGTAAGAGGAAACGGTAACATGTCTCGGGTAGATTTCCTAGACACACGAGTAATAGGCAACATATCATCCAATATCGCACACACATGAACGCAACTTGATTTGAAAAAACGGAGTTTGCCTGACGTACTATTTCCACCTTAGGGGAAACTGTATTTACTGCTTTCAGTGAGCGACAAGTTCGAGAGGGTCCAGTAATACAATCAACTCTCTTTAAACAGACATCAAGAGTTAGTCTCTGTCCTATTTGACCCTCTATGCATTGGACACCTAGAGTAAGTCATCTTCAGTCATTTTCTCTGACTTTCTATAAGACGCGCAGACACTTCCCGTCGCAATCGCCACGGTCTGCCTTAGAGACTGTTAAGGAATAAAGATTCTACTTCACGTTTAGCCAAAACTTCAAACAAGAACTCTATAAAAATAGCTATTGAATTTATCTGAAGGTTCACTCACCTTAACAGCTTTCTGTATGTTCATAAGCGAAGATCGCACGACTTCTCGTTAGCCTGTTAAACCTGACCATTTCCTGCACCAATACCGTGTTCATACTCTGCGTATAGGTGGTGGGGTATTTCCGCAGTGCCGCTTCCGTGTCAAAGTTCTTGTGTAAAATATCCTCAGCCACCCCAAAGAGTATCTCGTCNAGCCTGTTAAACCTGACCATTTCCTGCACCAATACCGTGTTCATACTCTGCGTATAGGTGGTGGGGTATTTCCGCAGTGCCGCTTCCGTGTCAAAGTTCTTGTGTAAAATATCCTCAGCCACCCCAAAGAGTATCTCGTCGTTGGATTTTCCACCTTTGGCGGAAGCCCGAGACTGCGTCAAAAGAATGCTGTTGAACAACTGTTGGGTTTCCTGTTGGTTCTTACTGATGTCTGCATTTGGCGTGCATTCCAAATACCTCAGAATGCGCAATGAGCGGAAGGCTGCGTCCGTACTCGATGCGTAGTCGCCTTCTTTAGGAGCAAAGTAGCTGCCGCTTGGCGAAAACTTGTAGTCTTTTTTGTCTATGATGGCAGCGCAGTAGAAGTTATCCTGGATTGTCAACAGGGTTCGTCCATCACGTTACACGGCCTCTGTAGTTGCATTCTCTCGTGAAGTGGCTCAGAGGGGCAAACTGGGCGTCCTGTAACGCAAAAACATGCACCAGCGCACATTACCTACATGCAGGTGATTCGCTCTGACCGGACACCTCTAAATAACAATTATTCCACGAGTGCGCGTTGGCTGTAATCATTTCATATCCAAACAAGCGCGAGTGGAATAATTGCTTTATTAAAAACGCCCACAAAATATCGAGAATTCTTCCCGACTTTATTTGTAAAAACAAACGATTATCAGTTTGTTTTTAATTTTGAGCAGACGCGTACGGTTACCATTTTTGAAGAGCATGGTATAATGGCTCATATACCATAATGGCTAAGCCAATCAGAGCTCTAGAATTGCCTTATCCAGTGATTCAGGTTTTGATAATTACCTGATAATGATGCCATTCTGAATAGAGAAACTGTCAGTTGGTAGCCCAGCTTGTTCCAGTCCCTTATCTTCACAGGGTCTCCCAAGGTCTCCGGTCACCGAGAAGTCATTCGAACAGGGGATGCTGGTGTCACGGAAAGCTTTCACCCACTCTGCAATTTGTTGCTGAAAAGAGAAAATACTTCCTTAAAACAAGAGAAATCATTAGTCTCGCTTGCGCAAGCAGCGAGACTAACGCGTTTTTCTTCGTATTTAGGACCCAAAGAGGAGTTACGTAAAAGAACGCAACGAAGGCGTGAAAAGCCAAATTAAAGAGATCAACGAAGACACAAACAAGCTCCGCAACGATGGTTTTAATGTCAAGGTCAAGTTGGATGAGCTTGCGAGCAGTACGCGCGAAGAGACTGTCTCGAAATAACCGGTATTCCGGTCGTACCTAATGACAGCCCAGCGTTGCTGGTGAAGGAAATGTCGGAGATTATGGGAGAGAACCTCAACGAAAACGACATATCGATCGCTCATCGTTTACCGCCAACGAAGAAAGCGAAAGATCGACTAATTGTCAAGTTCACTCGAAGAGAGAAAAGAGACCAAATTTACAGCAAGAGGAAAAACTTAAAATCGAAGCGGACTAAAGATCTCCCGTCTGTGGTCTGATAGCCGGAATTTGCGGTTATAAGTCATAAAGCACAAATTCATGTCAATGAAAGCACAGAAAACGACTACTGGGCAGAATCTTACAATTCAAGCCCAACAACAACCACAAGTTTATTTGGATGGCTAACGGTAAAATAATGCTGAAGAAAACGGAGAGCTCCACTACGAAATGTTTTGTAACCCATGGGGAATTCGAAGAGTTTCTTGACGAGCTCAATTAATTAGCTATTAGCTTCTGTTCTATAAACTTATATTATTGCGGAGGGAAAATGGCTGATTACCAGGAAAACGTAAGTAGTTGTTTACCATTTTATGACTTAACTGATAGAGAATTTCATGCTATGGTTGGAAGCTGGCCGGATAGGCGTCATGATCTTGGCCTTTACGATCTCCTCCCAAATCCAAATAAATTCGACGAGTGCGACCCAGATTTAATGTTAAATACCCCCTGCTCAGAATATTATTCAGGCCGTAGCTTTAATAAAATGCTTGTAAATTCAGACGCAAAATCTTTTTCAATTCTTCACTGTAATATTAGAAGTTAATCTAAAAATCTAAATCTATTAGAAGAACTATTATGCTCCCTTGACTCCAAGCAGGATAAACTTGGAATTACAGAAACTAAATTAGGTGAGAACTCTATTTCTAATGTAATTATCAAAGGCTATAATTTTCTTCACACGGACTCGCCAACAAACGCAGGTGAAGCTGCTTTATATATAGCTAATAATCTTAGGGCCTGTTTACATGCAGGTGGGGGACCCCAGGTGGTTGAGGTAACCCGTTAGGTGGGGTAACCCGCCTGTCCACATAATCTCTCATTTTAATTTGATCACGTTTACATGACAGGCGGGGTGACCTGCCAGATGTTACCTCACCTACCTGGGGTCCCCCACCTCCATGTAAACGGGCCCTTTAAGCTGTACCTAGGCCTGACATTAAATTTGACGTAGCGCTAGTTGAATCCTGCTGGGCAGAAATTGATGCTGGTTAAGGTAAAAGGAAGATCATAATAGGTTGTATCTACAAACATCCCACTTGTAATTTAGAACAGTTTCACAACCAACTAAATGATATAATCAAAACAATTAATCCCAATAGACACGAAATTTACATCTTCGGAGATATGAATATATATTTCCTGAAATTCAATGAACATACTCAAACTGAAGAGTTTTAAGATATGCTTTATGCCAATAACATCTTGCCGATCATTACTAAACCTACAAGGCTTACTGATCACACAGCAACACTCATTGACCATATATATACAAATTGTTTACAAAATTTCACAGCAGGAATCCTGACAGTTGATATAATAGATCATCTTCCGATTTTCTGCTTAGTCAGAACCCAGCCTACACGGAATAATAGTAACATAAAATATTTTCGAGACTACTCTAAATTTAATAAAGATCTATACTTAGATGATATAAAACTGATTGATTGGCACGAAATCCTCAACCCAGAAAAGAATCTAAATGAAAAGGTACAGGAGGCAATCAATACCCTGCATAAAATTGTAGACAAACATGTGGCTATCAAGCTGGCTAGCCAAAGCAAGCAAAGGCAACTTAATAAGCCACGGCTCACTAAGGGTATCCTAAAATCGGTAAAAAGGAAACAGAAAATGTACCCTACACATTTCTTAAGCAAGGACTTACAAAAACTCGGGGAATATAAACATTATGCAGCTATTCTTTCACATCTTAAGAATAAAAGTAAGACAGAATACTATAACATGAAATTTGCAAAGTACAAAGACAACCTTAAGCAAACTTGGAAACTTATTGGTACTCTTGTTAAAAGGAAAACCAAAGGTCAAACTTTCCCCACGAGAATCACTCACAATAACAGGACTTTTACACAAGAAAAGGACATTGCCGAATTATTCAATAACTTCTTTGTAAACATTGGGCCAACTTAAGCAAAGGAAATCAAAACTAATCATACAGACCCTTTGCAATATATAGAATCTACGCCATCAAACAGTTTTCACCTTGCTCCAGTAACCCAAACGCAAGTATTTACATTATTTGCTGGGCTAAAAGGAAACAAAGCATCCCTTATTGTTCCTAACAAGCTCATTAAACTTGAAACTCAACAGCTCTCTGCACCCTTTACTGAAATATATAATGAATCAATATTATCAGGGGAGTTTCCTGAAATCTTTAAGATATCAAAAGTAACCCCAATATTTAAAAGTGGTAGTCTATCTGAGTTAGGAAATTACAGGCCAATAGCAGTTATTTCTCCCTTTAGTAAAGTACAGGAAAGACTAGTATATGACCAACTTGTGTCCTATCTGGAAAAAGAATGTCTACTTTTTAACTTCCAATTTGGCTTTCGAAAGGGATATTCCACTGAATATGCCATTCTAGAAACTGTGGAAAAATTAAAGTCAGCAGTTGATGATCAAAAAATAACATGTGGTATCTTTTTAGACTTTTCCAGGGCCTTTGATACAATTAACCACCATATTCTCTTAGAAAAATTATATAAGTATGGGATCCGAGGACTCCCCCATGCATAGTTTTCAAGCTATATAACTAATCGTAAGCAATATGTCAATGTTGGTAATACAGAATCTAGCCTAAAAACCATCACATGTGGTTTACCTCAAGGCTCCACACTAGGTCCACTGCTGTTTCTATTGTATATTAACGATTTGCCCAGGCCTTTGAAGAAATTAACTTTTAGGATTTTCGCAGATGATAAAAATGTGTTTTATTCTTCAAAAGACCCAGAACAATTACAATCAGTTATCAATGAAGAACTTGGAAAGGTCTTAAAATTCTGTGCAGCAAATATGCTGCCCATTAACTTCAAGAACACTAATTACATGATAATTTAATACTTCACCTAAGAAGAAAACAAATATCAGAATAACAGCTTGTAATATAGAGCAAAAGTCCAAGATTAAATATTTGGGTGTCTTCATTGATGAACATCTAAAATGGGATGCTCAGCACCAGCACATTAACAACGAAATAACAAATTTCATTGGAATTTTAGACATTATGTGCCTATGAGTACACTCAAACAACTGTACTATATTCTCATATATCCGTATCTAACGTATGGATTAATGAGCTGGGGTACCGCATACCAAAATAAGTTAAATAAAATCAAAGTAAGTCAAAATAACTCTATTGGCTGCATCTCCTTTGCAAACAAAAGAGAAAGTCCCACACCGTACTTTACACTATTAGTTCTAAATCTTAAAGTTAGAGAATATCTTTAAATTAAAGATTGGCGCTCTTGTGCATAATATTCAATATCAAAAAAGGATACACCTCCTGCCCTCTATGACTTAGTTCAACCGCCTTCAGCTGTCCATATAATTATAATACTAGGTATGCCACTAATCAAAACCTGTGCAGACCGTTTTCCAGAACTAATTATGGCCTAGCAAGGTTTAGTGTAGTACGGTAAGTGGCATCACAGACCTGGGAAGCAACACCTATGAAGATTAAGTGTCTCAGTCCCCTCGAACATTTTTAAAAAAGAACTCTTTCTACTTGACAGTCAGGCATTTTGAACAACTCTAATCTGTTACTTAGCTCTATTAATTATTTAATTATTTAATTTAAATAGTTTTTTATAAGTACTGTATAACCTCCACCCACTTGTGACCGCTCTGTGGTAGCAGTCAACTCGAAAGCTTGGCTCCTTTGGCTGCTACACACTCTTTTCATTTGTTATGTTTAATTCAATGTATAGTTAGCTCTGTTTTTACTTCTTCTTTTTTTTCTTATTGTTGTTGTATTGTAATTGAATAAGTGTGAATAAATGAACTTGAACTTGAACTTGGACAGTCTGTTGCGAGTCTCGATTCTCGACTCAATTAGCAATTTATTTACTCTAAGAAAATTAGGAGGGTTGTTTACCTTCTCTTCAGGGTCACCTTCTCTTGCTGATCTTGTTATCCAACAGTCATTCCTGGGAGTTGTTTTGCAGGTTGCCATTCTATTCCACTTCACCAAGAATGTCAAATATGTGATGCAATGTTGTCAATCACTAAAAAAAAAATTGACAAAAATTAACCTCATTTGACGAGGCATTTTAAAGAATGAAACTTGTATAAGAGTTTTTTAGACACCTTATCTCATGTCAGGTCAGTTGGTCAGGTTAAGAGTCCATGATTTGCATTTTGGATGGAAATTTAACTGCTTTTACATCCTTATTATCAAGGTGTCCATCAAAGCAAGGTGTTCACATGGCCAGAATTGACTTTACTAGGGGGTTCCATTTCCAGGGTGGAGACACTCCCTCATTTGGTCTAGACAGGGATGTTGCACTGTACAGGGTATGGTTTTCAGGGTCTTGAGTCTTCCCCACTAATTGGCATCTTTAACAGGGTGTGTTTTTGAATTGGAAGCCTTTAAAAGAGTACATGTGAAATTAGTATGAAAAAATTACCTAATTCTGTATGCAACACGTAACTAATCAGGGTTACAGTTGAACCTTGATTATCTGCACTTTTCAATTATACACACTTGTTTCACTGGTCCTGTTTTTCATAAATATTTACCCTTTAAGCCCTAAGAGTGATCAGCATCAAGTTTCTCCTTGTAATACGAATGCCTTGTAAAACAGAGTGGTCACTAGCAAGGCTGCTGCCTAACGGGTGCCCGGTTGCCAGAGGCGCCTACGATTTACCCTCAGGCGACAAAAATTTCAAACAGGGAGCCCAAACAGGTGCCTAAAACATATGATTCTCAGGCTAACTTCCAGTGAACAAACAACAAAATTCCCAGCTCATTCTGCACTTTTGAAATGACAAAGGAACACATCGTTTGATCATCCGCCATGGGCAAAAATATATTACCGCTGATAAACATCAACAAACAGCACTTATGTCATGAAGTTCTGCTGCAGAGCAGTTGAAGTTTCTCGTCTGAAAATGGTGTCAAATGAATAATTTAATAGTCTTTGAAAAACCTTTGATAATAAAATCATGACTTTTCCTTCACCGTTACAAATGTTAGGTCGCTACTGCATGAAGTAAAAACAGAGAAAAAGTTGCGATGCATGGAAAAGTAAGCTGGTTTCAAATGACACGTGACATCGGTATGCTATTAACTTTTGCAAGTTTGTAGCATTTTCTATCTTGCTAAGAATATAAATGGTACACTTGGAGGTTTCTTCTATCATATTTTATTCAGCATTATCTAAGCCTTCTTTATTTTTTTTCTGTACGTTTTGTGAGAACTTTTGAAAGGCTCACAAAAACATTCCAGTTTTTAAAAATAATTCACAGCAGCTATTCAAGATTACATTTCAACCTCTTTTTAATTTACGCTGTCGCCTGTGATGCCTGTAAATACAAACCTTCACAAATGCAAAAACAGTTGTGATAGTTCAAAAGATAGACTTGATACAAAAATACTGAGTCAATTTTCCAAACTTCCAGATAAAAAGCTTTCATTGGTCCTTTTTTTTTAGCAAAAAACTTAAACTTAACTTCGCTCAAATTGTAGATGCAAGTTCCATTGGTCTGTGCATTCAATGTATGTGCGAATGGTTATTGTTATGTTTCTCAAGAAATAAATTGTTTCCTGAAATCTTTTTGAGTGGTGAGTATAAAAAATCCTGGTTTCTCAAAACTCGAGACTGGGTTTTTGTGTTTCGAAACTTGATTTGTTCAAGGCTCGAGTATTGTTCTAGTTTTGTCTTGTCACGCAATGCTCCTTTTAAGCCTTCCTGACTTATCTAGGAAGATCGAAGGCCCTTTGCTTGCAGGGTGTAAATTAATAAACAACAACAACTTCAAAGATAGATCTTTCCAGCCATACCTCATTTTGGATATTCTGACCAATCCTGTCAGAGTTACACTTACTAAAAAAGGTAACATTTTGGGGAAAAATCCACTGCCAGTTTCAACGTTTACATACTACTCTTTAAAGATTAATTTGCCCCTTTCCTAAAAAGTAAGCCAGCCACAATTCCGTGCAAAACAAGGACGATAAAGTGGGCAACAAAACTGCTAATAAACAAGAAAGGCAAAGGAAAAAAAGAGAGCAAGAGAGAAAGATTGAAATAGATTCACAAAAAAAGGTCCAAATTTTTGCTTTTGCGTATACGTGAAAAACAAAAAAGCTGTTTAATTATGTCAGATTAGTCGAAAAACATGCCTTTTTCCTTACAAAACTCCTTTTTAGCCTTTCTTATGCTAATTAGCCAAAAACGAGTCCAAAGAAGAGGAATTGGTGAAAAATGTGTTTTTTTCGCTACTCAATGGCCATCACCAAAGGGTTAATAAAATTACTGATCTTTTTTAATTGAGCTCCGAGAAATGGGATTGGGCTCCTAACTTTTTCTTCTTACTTTCTTACTAGGCAGCAGCCTTGCACTAAAATTACAGATGTGATCACACAAGATGAATTTGCTTGATATTTTATCAACTTCTCCCCTCTACTTCTGTAGGAAATGAATAGGGGCAACAAATGAGAATTTAAATTTTGATGTTAGAGTTTAAAGGGTTAATTAAAGATGTGATCTTGAAAAATTGAAACGATTAAAAGTTCATTAATCCTTAATTCAAAACGTTTGTTTTAAACACTGTTTTAATCTGCTTCCCTTTGAAAAAGTGCAAGTGGCACAAGATGAACAATTATTCAGCTGAATTCTAATATGCTCAATTGTTATGTTGCTAAGGGAATGTCATGCTTGATTCCACATTCATACACATTCATAAACTCAAATGACTGCCATGTCTATGCAATAAAAGCAGTCTGTTATTTCGATAAAGGATAAGCAAACCATTATTGGGTTATTCCAGAAAAAATCCACACCCCCATGACCGAAGGCACAGTTTTTTGACCCCCACCCCCTTCCACCTGGATTTCTAAAACTGCTTGAGCCCCCCTCCCCTCAGGATTTCCAAGTTCAAAGACCCCCCACTCATCTGGATTTCCACAAAATTGTTAGACACCATAATTTTAATTTACACTCAATGTAGAAGAATCCTTTTAGGCACTTAGATGATCTTTTTATTAAATAAGTCTCAATTTTCCATGAATTCTGTGTTTGTTGTGAAAGTTAAGATTCCATTTTCACATGTTCTTAAACAGGCTTACACTCTTTGCAAATAAGCTCATATTTGAGGGAACTTCTCTTTTTTTTCTAGAACAGGCAAAATATACAGCAATACATACTACAACAAAGCTCAAAACTATGTTCACGAATAAATGGTCCTCTTCTCTGTCGATAAAAAATGACTGCGAAAGAAAGAAAAAGGACACTTGGGGGGATATTACATGACGCACTAAACACTTGCCTTTCAAACTGGCCGCCGAACAATCACGAACAACATAACCACGCTTACTTGTAAGGCGTGTTTATTGGTAAATCACCCTGAAATAGCATTGACCTTGGAAAAATGTTTAATTCAAGGTAAAATCATTGTTTGCTTTCGTTGAATTGAGCGCTTTTTATGAATTATGCGATTTTTCTTGATATGTTCAAGTTATTGCACGTCGTTTCTATAAAAGTAACGAGGGTGAGCCTATGGATGGAAACTTAAAATAAATGTGGTAAGAGGTCTGTAGTTTGAAAGGATAATAAAATTTGAAAGGGCAAAGCAATTTTTTTAAAACTTATCAATTAAAGCGATTGAAACATCTATGAAATTGAAAGTTACCCCCAAGGATGTATTTTTAGGTTCAGAGCCCCCCTCCCGTCTGGATTTCCAAAACCGTTAATTCTCCCTCCCATGAGATTTTCCAGCATGCCTTCTGTCGTGTGGGTGTGGATTTTTTCTGGAATAACCCATTTCACATTTGGAGAAAAGTGAAAAAGGAACAAATTTGGCACTCAAGTTTAAAATCAGCAAGCAGCAGATCTCAGATATATGCAGAAACAAAGAGAAGATCCTGAAATTCACCGACAGTGTTGAGACAAGCATAGGATTGAAACTGATACAGGTTTTAAAGGCTTCAGCAGGCACACCTCTACCATTGAAGGAAAATCAGCTTACCCAAAGGATAAGATATTATTCTTTAGTAAAATCCAACTAGTGGTCTATTATCTATACTGCATTCTGATTGGTTGGGCTACTACTAGGCTATATGTTATTGTCCACTAGTAGCAAAATGTCCCGGCTTTTTGGCAGCAAAAAAGGATTAAAGTCTAGCTTTAACTACCATAAAATTCTGAAAAATAAGGGCCAGGGCTTATATTTTTCACAGGCCCTTTTTGAGGGGCTTATTTTCGGAGGGGCTTATATTTGGAGGGGCTTGTCTACGGAGGAAAATTTGCATTTCAAAATCGATTGGGCCAGCCTTATTAAGTTGGAAGTAAGTTTACCATTTTT